ACAAAATAAATTATTTGATACGTTTTGAAAAATATGATATTTTACTTTAAAACTTACGTATTCTTTGTAAAAAGTATGACCATTATAGATTAACAAAATTAAGACCGCAGACATGAAATTTGACATAACAACATTTGTCACCATCATCTACTTACTTTAAAGATCATATTACTTGTAAAGTCAACAAACGTTAAATTTACACATTGTGGTCAACGTCAATATCTAAGCAATTACGCAAAATAGCTTTATCCATAAGAATAACCTGACTACACCTTGTGGTCAACTTAAATATCAAGCAATTATGCAAAATAGCTTTATCCATAAAAATAACCTGACGACAGTACATGAACACATGCTTCACGTATATATATATATATATATAGTTATATACACATATATATTATATTATATATTGAAAACAAATATATTGTATATTCAAAAATAAGACTGGACCACGATTCAAATATTAAGGGTATGATTGTTTATAAATTCAACTAGTTTTTATTTGGTTTGGTTTTAACTATAATTAATTTTGAAAAAAAAAATGGTATGGTTAGTTATTAGTGGATATATTAAATTAATATTTAAATAAAATAATTAAAGTTAATTTGATGTAAAGTAGGAGAAAAAAATGATTGGAAGTGATGGTTAGTTAAAATTATGTGAGTGAATGAATAGTGAATTATAGTTGATGTGATGTGTAAGAATGATTGGTTGTATTATTTAATTATATTGATAAAATTGGAGATAGTGGGTTGGGTTAAAGTTGAGTTAAATTTGAGTTTTGATTGATTTTTTTACTGTTGAAATAATATCCAATCGCCCCCTAATAATTCGAATTAAAAATATAAATACATAGATATAGGGCCACACTATTTAGTGTATATTAAACTTAGGACAATAAGGCCACGCTTATATTTTTCTTAACTAGTATTCGACCTGTGCAAATACACATATATAAATAAAGTATTGTGAGTTATTTGTATGCATATAATGATTAATGATTTTTATTACACTTTTTTGCAGGCCAAATTTACAATTAGAGGAGCTGGAATATTTATTTTTTTAAATTGCGTTTATCATATTGGATATAATGTATATTTTAGTATGTATTTTTTTGTGAATTATTTATTATTTATTTAGGAATTACAAATACGTTTTTTATTTTCCAAAAGAAGTTAATTTAAATGTAACCACAACAATGACATCTAATCACGTTAAATAGTCAACACATTATATGGTCAGTTGTAAGTAAATCAAAAGTTTACAATGATTTTTGTAATTTTGAAGTGATTAGTGTGTTGATTATCTAAAAATTAAATGAGAGGTAAAATAAATAAAAAGTAACGGTTTTTGGAGGGAAAAAGTTATATTGCCACATATGTATAATTTAATAGGTTTTATTAAATGCTCATGAGCCAACAATTATATATACTAGTAATTAACCTGTGCATTTGCACAGTGAAGAATACTTTAAAAAGATAACAATATAAATAAAAACAAAAATAAATTATAATTTAATTCATGAAAAAAAAATATGAATTGAGAAAATAATTCTCAAAATCGATTTTGATCCAGTAATTGCTATGGAAGAGCCGTTACACTCATTTTCATTATACTAATACACCTGACCATTTTCATGAGTGGGTGTAACTTAAAATTTGATTACAATTTTGTAACTCCTTTGATTGGTTTATGCTCATAATTTATGGCATTCAAGCATTAAGTTATTTTGTAACTTAAAAATGAAATTGAATGTTGAAAATTTTGGAGGGAGAATAAAATTTAATGCATGATAATATAATTTAGTGCTTTGTTGCTCCTCTTTATATATACTAGTAATCAACTTGTGCATTCGCACAGAGAAGAATACTTTAAAAAGTTAACAATATAAACAAAATAAAAATATAAAAAGAGAACAATATAAAAAAAATAAAAATAAATCATAACTTAATTCATGAAAAAATATGAATTAAGAAAATAATTCTCAAAATTGATTTTAATAATGTAATTGCTATGGAAGAGCCGTTACAACCATTTTCTTTATGCTAATACATCCGGCCATTTTCATGAGTGACTATGACTTAAATTTGAGTATAATTTTGTAACTCCATTGATTGGTTTATGATCAAGGACGGAGCCATATAAGGCCCAGGGGCCCCCCTCATTTTTTTGAAAAAATCAATATATAAGTAAATCGATTTAGCGATATAAAACTGAGTATTTAGTTAGATTGTTATGTTTTTTAATGTTATTTTTTTTTGTGTAATCACATATTTCTAACTTTATTTTTTTTTTCTTAAAAAATGTCCATTTGGTAAGTTCTCATCAACAAAAATGTTATGCAATGTGGTGCAAAAGTTCAATTTAAATCAAATTTTCTACTAAAAGACTTATTTTTCCATAACTTCTAAATGTTGAAGTTATACCTAAAATCTCTTTTTCTTAAAAAGAAAATAAAAAAGTTTGAGGGTGATACGGATTCTAAGTTTTTAAATACTTGATGGTACACCTACCGATATTTATATTTATAGTAAATATATTTTTATATGAAATGAATATTTCGACTTAAACTACAAGCTCGTTATTTAACATTTAAAATCGGGCCTCCAAAATTCCTAGATCTGTCACTGTTTATGATCATAATTTATGGCATTCAAACAAGTTATTTTGTAACTTAAAAATGATATTGAATGTTGAAAATTTTGGAGGGATAATAAAATTTAATGTATGATAATATAATTAAATGCTATGTTGCTCCTCTTTATATATATATATATAGATATAAATATATAGATTACACTACAAATTCTGACTGCAAATGCATATCTACTCAGTTAGCTGAGTGCGCAATTACAGTACGAATTGCGTGGTTCTGCAGTAACTTTGTTCTGTGTTGTGACAGCTTGGCTCTACACTCATTCCCGACTATTATATTATTTTCTTACCAGAATATATTTTGTCCAACCTAAACTGTCTTACGTGGAGAGTTGATAAACTTCTTGCACTGGCATTTTGAAATAAAATCAGTTAATTAAGCCCAAAAAGCTGTACGTAGTAACATATTTAATTCCTACCACTATCTTGTGCATGCTTTGTTAAAAAAGAAAATGGGCAATAACTAAAACATAAAATAGAAGAGCTAGAATAGATGTTATATACCATATATATATGCACACATGCATGCATCTTAATATTCTAATATATATAATGCATAAACATGATCAATTTTGTGAATACCTCATAGTACGATCAATTTATCAAGGGATCTTTTTTTTTTATATATATTTTTTATTTAAGTTTTTTGCCTTTTAGTAGAGTGAAATAAATTGGGTCTTGCAGCAAAATCATGTGCTTGCAGTAAATACGTTTTTCACATTTCAAGCTCACCACTTAAATACCATCTTTCTACGGCCACACAATCAGCGCCTTTGACCACCGTACAAATTGCCCCATACATATAAATAGACCAAAAGGANAAAAAGAAAAAAAAAAGAAAAAAAGAAAAAGAAAGCCACATTAAAATATGCTTGGATATACTTTTATGTTTTCTTGAAATATGTACTACATCCTATTCTTTTTAAATGTCATTTTAGCTTTATTAACTGTTAACAAAATAAATGTCGTTTTGGATCTTTTGTACATATTTTTCCATTATTACCCTCATTTAGCTAATAAATACAATACGTCTTTTCATATTCACTCTTCATTTTTTCCCAAAACATAATTCTCTATCTTCATTAAAAAGGGTTACATTGACAAAAAAAAAATTCTTAATTACTGTGCAACTTCTTAAAACGACACTTATTATGAATAGGAGGGAGTAACATAGAATTAGGCAAAATTATATGACGCTGCTAGTCAAGCATTGTGGCTCGCTCGGTGTTGGTTGAGGAGCAGGGATTAACATCAAGAACGCCAATGTTGAGGGTGGACAAAGTCTGTCATTGTCTTAATCAAGAACCTAGTACTCCATGGACAGAGCAGAGACATTCGAATGAAATATCATTTTATCCGGGAGTCTGCAGAGGAAGGCCTGATTAATGTTGAGTTCATCCGGAGCGAAGAACAAGTGGGTGACATTCTGACGAAGCTGCTTGGAAAGACCAAGTTCCATGAACTGCATTCTAAGATCAGTCTGATTATTGTTAGCAATGTGCATAGACTTACGAGGAAATAATTGTAGGAAATCTTCTATAGGATATAATCCTTGTTCACCTAAATTAGTTTACTTGTTTTCCTAAATGCTCCCTTAGATTAGTTGTAAATATAGTTTTGATGTAATCTTGATTTCTAGGCCTTATTTAACTTATTGTATTCCTCTATATGACTATATCAACAATAGAATAGCACAAGAGAAGTTGTCAATTCAATAGCACCAAACAAGAGTGTTTTCTTTTGTGTCTTGTGTTTTGACCGTGATTTCGCCGACAATCGAGTGTTATCTTTCCGGCGAGTTTCTAACATCACTCATTAGCAACTAATGTTCTAAAAGCGCACCAAAATTTCGGTCGATCCGCTTTGGCTTAAATGTCTCTAACTACAAATCTAATCAACTTGCAAAACAACTTTCAGACGCTCAAGTCAGAAACAAAATCACTGATAAAACTTTATAATCAAGATAGATTGTGTTTGAAAGTGAATCTGCGATCTGGATCATATTATCTAATAACAATATTGAAAGCAGGTCAAAGATATGACCAACTGAGGCACGTACTTTATGATTTTATGATCCCACGTAAATAATAAAAATGAAAATGAAAGAAATTTTGAAAATAATGCACAAGTAGTGTTTGCACACAAACACTGCATGTACGTACGTGGCAACAAATAATCCATGAAGACAACATTTATTTCCATGCATTGAATTCTCCCAACTGCTCCCTTTCCATTTCCCTATAAAATGTCAGTAGCTATTTTCACATTCGTTCAAGAGTCAATTAACCTAAAAACAAAAAACAAAAATCTCAAACATTTTTTTTTTTTAAAAAAAAAAGAAAATGGCGAAGTGGAGTTTCATTTTTCTCGTCTCTCTTCTCCTCGCCGCCGCCCATAAGGCGGCGGCTGCTAGGGTTCTTCCAGGTGATAACGCCGCCGGCGCGGGTCTGACTGACCAGAAGAACTTCGTCACCGTCGGTGGTGTCGGGGGCTACTCCGGCGTCGGCAACAACGGCATTCCGTTCGGCGGCGTCGGCGCCGGCGTGGGTACCGGCGGCGACATCGGTGGGTCCAACGGGTTCAGCGGCGTCGGTGGGGTGATCGGAACTGGGCCCAACGGTGGGCTGGGCGGTACTGTGGGTACCATCCCTGGAGGTTTTGTGAACTTTGGCGGGCCTGGAGGTGGCGGGCTGGGCGGCGCCGGAACCATCCCTGGAGTCGGCGGACTTGGCAGTGGCGGGCTGGGCGGCGCCGGAACCATCCCTGGAGTTGGCGGGCTTGGCGGTGGCGCGCTGCCGTCTCCTTAAAGCCTTTTGTCGTTTCTGTTGAGAAGTTGGAGTCGTCCTTTGTTTAGAGTGTTTTCGTTTGTTTAGTGCGTTTTAATTTGCATGAATTTATTTTGGGTTTAAACATGTGTTGTTGTGTGAGATTTTTATTTTGTAGTTGTTGACTTGTAACTTCTGCTTGGTTGTGTGTTGTTCTTTTAACTTTTCATATTCTAAAGTTGTGTGGTATGCTTAATTATTAATGATTCTACCAAAGTTTTTAATTAGCAACGGAAGTATAATTATGTTTACTAAAGTACTAGTGTAGAACTCGTGCGGGTGGACAACTTTTAGGCTATTATATTATCAAATTTTATTATTATAATTGTGAATAAAAAAAATTAAATAAATAAAATAAAAATATTGTTATATATTATTAAAAAAAATTGTAGACAACATTTTTTGCTTTGTAGTCACCATTCTCTTCGAAAATAAGTAGTATTAAAGCCCTTTCAATTAGTGACACAGAAAACAACTACATACCACTAGTTATGACTAAACACTGACTTTTTTAAGAACATGTTAACATGTGATAAAGACTTAACATGACTCATGTTAATCGTCATAACATAAGAAACCATTAGTTGAAACTGCCTTCGTTGGAATTTGAAATGTACTCTAATGTCGGAAGATGTTAATTAGAGGCATTTGAAGCATCAACACCTTTTTTCGTGCATTAGATTCAGTCAATACCTTACATTCAAACAACCGAATGGAGAGTTCAATCCATTCACTCCAATGATAACTAACCCCTTCCAATGTGATAAACCATCGAAATTCAACGATACTAATTTAAAATAACAACAAAAGATGTTACTATATAACATATCTATAGTCATTTATATATGTACAAATTAACTTACAAACTAGATGACGCTCTTTATTTCTTTGGAGGTGAAACACAAGTAGGAGGATATCGGAATCAAATACTTCTCTTCAGTAGATTTTTAAAGTACATTGATGGTTTACACCAAATTGATGGTATCAATCAAGTGTAAGAAATTTAAATCATCCTTCACGACTTGTTAACTGAATAATTGATTTTGGATATAGTTTTTAAAATGACAAAGATAGTTGAAAAATTGCCTACTATATGAAGGACTTCAAGAATTATTTCATGTGCAAGCACAATGAAATTTGGTTCAAGAATTTGATAGTTCGGTTTAGATTGAGGAAGGCAATCGAAAATCCTTAACAAGGGCCAATCGGAGCAAACTTTGAGACTAAGACAACTTTGAGACTAAGGCGATTGGATTGTAACAACGATAGTGAGGAGCATCAACGGAATGTTTTAGCAAATAGTTAATAGCATTTTATATTAGCGAACAACTGATGACAAATTTTTTAGTAGATTTGACTACCAATATGTAATAGTTGAGATTTTGAACGTTTTACTAGCAGATTGTGGCAGTAGACTTGCAAAAGCTTGGTAAATAAAATAATTTAAAATAAATTAAAATAACCAACAAAATTATTTTGCTATCTATTTTGATGAATAATTGATAATAAATTAAAAAATAACATTAATGAATATAAAATCAATATTAATAAGATGGAATTCTACTAGTCATTAAATAATAAATTACTTATAAAAATATATTATGCATGTCATAAATTATAATTTATTTAAAAATATGATCTTTAAAAATTTTGGACAAATTATAATTTTTTTATTTAAGTACAAATTTCGAATATTCAATCCACATATATGAAAAAGCTCTCACTCAGTTTTTGCAAAATTAGGTATTTTGATCCAAAATAGTGATTAAGATTAAAACTATTATTTAGTTACCAAACAACGTAATTTGCTCTCAAGTCTCCAATTTGAGCACAAACCTCTTTACGACAAATATATCAATCACCAAGCTGCAAAATAACATTTGTTTGGTCCATGATAATTGCCTGAATGAATTTCAAAGCATCAAGAGTATAATTAAGTAAATTAAACAAAGTTAACAATAGAAAAAGAACAATTTGATCATCACATGTAGAGTCCCTCGGGAACGCCTTCTTTCTTCTTGAACATGACCTTGTCTTTAGCCTTCTTGAAGTCTGCATGGGTCACCTGAATATCACATTAAATACTTTACTATACATAAACAGTTGGATATTCAAATAAATAAAGAAGCAAATAAAAAATATCGAAATTAAAATCAAAAGTTATAACTTTCAAAATTATTGGCCACACAGAAGCTTCCAATTTTGTCCAAATTTCAGGCACGCCAAGCAAAGAGGCTAAGGGGCATAACTTCAACTTATAGACTACAATTAGAAATTTGAAATCACAAGGCTTACAATACAGAGATCCATCATACCTCCATTGAGACAAATTGGATTCTCATTTAAAATTAAGTTGATGGGCTTCAAGACACATCTACGGTCTACCAGATGAAACAATAACTATCCAAATGTCTAACAACACAGCCACAGGCTTCATATTGAACAGTGTGCCAGTGCGCATAAGTTAGTGTTGAAAACCAGATACGAGCATAGAAGCATGAAAATGATTAATCGCAAAACCAAGTGAAGGGATTTTCTTTGATAAGCACTAGCATTGAAGCTAGCCACTGAATATATGTTCCTCCCAGTAAATGATTTCTCGAGGTAAAAAGAGAAAAATACTGAATTTGCATAGTTACCTTCATGCGGCGTTCTCTAAGTGCAAGCAAGCCAGCTTCAGTACATATGGCCTTGATATCAGCTCCAGAAAACTCATCTTTTGTCATAACAAATTCTTCCAAGTTGACATCATCAGCCAATGTCATCCTTGATGTGTGTATCTAAACATCGAAAAATACAAATAAGTGAGCTCGATCGTTCAAAGTGATCACTGATTCCTATTTTAAACCACAAAACAGTTCAAAAGTACCTGGAAAATCCGTCTCCTTGTCTTGATGTCTGGCAGAGGAAATTCAATCTTTCTATCTATTCTACCTGGCCGGAGGAGCGCAGGGTCAAGACTTTCGATTTTATTTGTAGCAAGAATTACTTTCACATCTCCTCTAGAATCAAAACCATCTAACTGATTAAGCAACTCCAACATAGTCCTCTGAATTTCACGTTCACCACCCGAATGGGCATCATACCTTCAGAAAAACAATAATAGTAAGCACCAGCTTGGACTAGCCAAGGTCATTAACATCAGAAGATTTTTACCTTTTTGTCCCCACAGCATCAATTTCATCAATAAATACGATAGACGGTGAGAGATCATCAGCGACTCTAAAGAGTTCTCTCACCAACTTCGGCCCATCTCCCAGGTATTTCTGAATTAATTCACTTCCAACAACACGCAAGAAAGTTGCCGACGTAGAATTTGCCACAGCCTGGAGAATTTAATGAAAACAAAAGGTTTGATTAAATCTTCATACATGAACTGTCTTACGAAATGAGAATAATGACAGGAGACAAAAATATTTGGGTCAGATACCAGGAAGTCAGTCATATGCAGCATATAAGCCACAGAACTAAACCTTCCCAAGCTACGAGACAAAAATATTTGGGTCAGATACCAGGAAGTCAGTCATATGCAGCATATAAGCCACAGAACTAAACCTTCCCAAGCTACTTGTCAACAAGAATAAAGATCTAAAGACAAGAAAGCAACCTCCATACTAACCGTTATTATAGCTAATCTAGATTACAGTATCAAGAAAATGTAAAAATCTCAGCCAACGAAGTAGTTTCGATGAACTTCACATCTTTTCCACTGAAAAATTACCGTTTCACGGAACCTACTCACTAGAAGACAGCAAATCATGTAATAAGCAATACTTGACTGGAGCATATAAACATATGAACTTAACAATTCAAATGTACTACACCTAGAAAAAAGGAAAATAAAAAAAAAAAACAAAAAAAAAACAAATAATATAAAAAAAAAAACACAAACCTTTGCGAGTAAAGTTTTCCCAGTTCCTGGTTCTCCATAGAGTATGACACCCTTGGGTGGTTTGATACCAATATCTTCATACAATTCAGGGTGCGTTAATGGAAGCTCAACTGCCTCTTTGATCTCCTGGATCTGAGCATCGAGGCCACCAATATCAGCATATGACTCCAATGGAGCCTTCTCAACCTTCATCACTGATACCATGGGGTCAACTTCATCTTGAAGCAGCCCAACAACAGAAAGGACCTGTGCCAAGTCAAAAACTTTCCAAAGTTAAGCAACTGTTTTAGGCTATGTTTGGTAGACAAATGAGCTAGCTAATAGCTTATTTGGTTAGCTTGTAAGCTCCCTGTTTTCAAATAAGATCCATTTGGTAGGACGGGCTTTTTTAAAAAGCTCGAGCTTATTTGATAAGCTTCTTTGGTAACTTTTCAAGTAAGCTAGTTGAAATTTTTATTTTAGCTAGCTTATCAGCTAATTTTACCAAACAGTTTTATCATATAAGCTAGTTTTTCAGCTATAAGTCATAAGCTATAAGCTATAAGCATAAGTTAAAAAATTACTGATAAGCTATAAGCTAGCTTATCAGCTATCAGCTAGTTTTACCAAACATATTAGGCATCGGCCTCCCACCAATTCTCAAAAGGCATCTCCTTTCCAGGGAAGTTTTCAAACCAGCAAACTGTCCTAAAATTTTATTCAATTACAACTAAATTGTAATTTTATATTCAATTACTTTGATTTTAGTTAATGTTTTCCAACATTAACTACACAGGATAGCAGAAAAGCCTCTCTTCCCTTCAGTACCTTCAGTTCTTGCTTAACATAAAATTAAGCAAACCTTTTAACGCGTATTTCCATGTTGCCAACAAACTAAACTAAACACAGAATGAGAGTGATGGGAAATGCATTTCATCTTAAATCTCGTCTTCCAGATACAAAATGCAAAAATTCAATACCAAAACACAAAAATATCTTCCACTTCTGTGCGGGGATCGGAGCAATGAACTATTAAAATTATGCAGTCAAAGCAGAAAATGTACCTTATTGTGCATAAGAATCGCACATCCAGGCTCGAGCTGGTCCTTATCCACAAAAGACAAGATCCCAACATAATACTCCGGCCCGACTGAAGAAGAAACAATGGCGTGGTTCTCATCAATTAACTCCTCCAAGTTTCCGACACTCATCGGCGAGCCTCTCAGGTCATCGACCTTAGATCGATCCTCCTCCGTCTTCTCCTCCTGCGGCTTCAGTCTCTCCTGATTGGCCACGAACTCCTCCTCCATCAGAAGATAGTCCTTGATCCGCTCTAGCTTCAGAAGCCGGAGCTTGCACTTCGTCAGCGGCGTCACCGTCGGGATCCTTGCGGCGGCCTCCGGACCTTTCTGCTTGCGCTGCTTACGGCCAACGCGAGAAGGAGGCGCCGCCGGCTCAAACTTCTTTTCCTTCTTGTCGCCATCGTTCTTACGATCTCCGGGTTGCCGATTGAGTCCACCTGGAGTTCCTTGTCCCATGGCAGCAAGATGCAATTAGGAATTTCAGATTTGGGGGGTTTTTTGTGTGGGATTGTGTAATTGTGTAACGAGAGTTGTCTTAGGGTTCAAGAAATAGCATAAATAAACAAATAAGATAGTATTTGAGTTTTTATTTTTATTTTTTATTATTATTACTAGTGCGTACCCCGTGCGACGCACGGGTAAACAATATTAAATAACAATTATAAATGGGTTTTGAGTTCGAGTCACGTAAGTGAGGAACTACTATTGATACCTTTTTTAAAGAGAATTATGATGTCACGTGTGAAAATTTGAGTCCTATGGAGTATGAGATCATAGTCAGTGAGATTTTTTTAGCTTTAAAAGGTATGGGCTCCTGAAACGCTCCAGGAGTTGATGGTTTAAATGCTCTTCTTTTTAAGAAGAATTGAGAAATTGTTGGCCCTTCTGTCTGTGCTTTTATTAGTAAAATGTGGCATGACGGTTTTGTTCCTAGCACTGTGAATAGAACTTTGATCGTCCTAATTCCTAAGATCGAGAAACCGTTTACTCTTAAGCACTTCCACCCCATCAGTCTACTAAATATTGTGTACAAATTGTTCACTAAGACTTTGGTGAACCGTATTAAGGGGACCCTTGCGGATTTGATTTATCCAGCACAAGCTAGCTTTGTTCATGGCCGACAAATTGTTGATAATATCCTTGTCGCGCAAGAATTGATCCACTCCATGTGATGCAAACAAGGGTGGAAGTTTTTATGGTGATTAAAGTTGATCTAGAAAAAGCCTACGACTATCTCCGATGGGATTTTATTGTTAAGACTCTAAAACTCGTTGGCTTTCCTATTAAATTGGTAGAGGCTATCATGGCACGTGTCAGTTTGGCGTCCATGAACCTAATGTGGAACTAAAGAATTTGTGTTGAGTTTCAACCTTCTAGAGGGCCCGTTAGGGTGACCCAATCTCCCCATACTTATTTGTGTTGTGCATGGAGAGATTGGCACAACTTACATGCGAAGCGATTGGCTACCAATCTCTATGGGCAGAGCGGCAGTCTCCGTGCTTTTCTTGATGTTCGCGGACGATTTTTCTCCTTTTCATGGAGGCCTCGGATGATCAAGTTTTGGGCTTAAAGCAAGTCTTCAACCTTTTTTGCAAACCCTCGGGACTCAAAATTAGCCCGAAAAAGACATAAGTCTTGTTTTCCAATAATCTAGAGGCACATGAACAAACTAGGTTGGCAGGTTTGTTAAACTTCAAGCTGAAGGACAACCTAGATAAGTATTTTGGGATGCCCATAATTCACTGGTCCCTGCCGGATCCGGGGTGGATCAAAATAAATACTGACGTAGCTTTTGATAATTCCACCTGATTGAGTAGTGCATGAAGGATCCTACGTTATGAGCTGGGAAGGTGGGTAGCTCATTTCATCGTGCACGTTGGATTTTGTACAATTACGGGTGCATGGAGAAAGGCTATTGTCAAGTTATCGTGAAAGTCGACAACCAATGTGTGGTGAACATGATCCTAAGCACTGAAAATAATTTTGGTGCCCATGAATAATGGGAAAATTTTAAAATTAGTCCCACAGTTATAGGGGAGTGACAATTTTGGTCCCGACGGAATGCAGAAAATATGAATAGTCCCACATCTTTTAAAAAATGATCAAAAGTAGGACTTTTTCGCCGGATTTACTATTTCCGGCCCGGAACGCCACGTGGCATCCGACGTGTTCATATTTTTTTACAAGTTGTGGGACTAGTTTTGAATTTTCTGCATTCCATCGGGACCAAAAATGTCACTCCTCTATACTTGTGGGACTAGTTTTGAATGTTTTCCTATCTACGTCGGATGCCAGCGTGTAAAAAATAAGCCACGTGTGCGCCACGTGTGCGCCACGTGTACGCCACGTGGCGCTCCGGGCCGGAAATAGTAAATCCGGCAAAAAAGTCCTACTTTTGATCATTTTTTAAAAGCTGTGGGACTATTCATATTTTGTGCATTCCGTTGGGACCAAAATTGTCACCCCCATATATCTGTGGGACTAATTTTGAAATTTTCCCCATGAATAATTAGTAAAGGCCATTCGTTGCTTGGCCCAAAGAGAATGGAACAATACGATACGACATGTTCATAGAGAAGCCAACTTTGCGGCAGACCATTTGGAGCATTACGATACGACATGTGCACAGCAGCCGACTCTCTGATCGAAATCCAATGCATATTCCCCTCCCCCTAGCTTGGGTACGTGGCTCGAGCATGATATCATCGGAATCTCTTATCCCCCCAAGTTATAGTATAACTTTCAGGCCTTCGACCTCCTTCATCACACAAATAAATAAATAAATAAATAAACTTCACTATACACTTTTTTTTTTCATAGAAAATTTTACTAGTACGACATCCGTGTACTACACAGGTTGTTTGAAGAAAATATAAAACATAAAATAATAGAAAAAACACATGTTGTCATATAAAAGTACAAAAATAGAAAAATACTAAATTCGATATTATTTCAATTTTTGAAAAATTTCTTTGTACACAACATTAATAGTTTTATTTACAATTTTTCTAAAATTAAAATAATTTAATTTTATATAAAACATTACTTTGGGCTTTAATTAAATTATCAAATTATAATTTTTTAGTCATAACAATTAAACACTCGTACATTAAATGAAAAATTTCAACCCGTATTAATTTTTTTTACCTATATCATATTAAAATATCGATATTATTTACTATTACATAAGTACAAAAATATATATCTTAAATAAATAGAAATAATATAGTGATATGTATATGCATAAGTGTAGAATATGTTTATTTAATATTAAGCAAAACAGATTAATTTTTTACTTAATTAGATGCTTAATACATCAAGTGTTACATGAGTCGTGCTTCACAGTTTTTTAACTTTATATGTAATTTTAGAATTTAGATAAATGACTATTTATTTTTATTAGATTGACAAAATACCAATTAGATTTGAAATAAATATCATTTTAAAAAAAATACATACCAATTTCTATTACTTTAGAAATAATATGGTGATATGTATATGCATAAGTGTAAAATATGTTTATTTAATATTAAGCAAAATAGATTATTTTTTTTACTTAATTAGATGCCTAATACACCAAATGTCATATGAGTCGTGCTTCACACTTTTTTGAGGGCCCAAATAAATGACTCACGTCTGAGTCTAGGTGATGAACAAATTGATTAGAAGAAATTAATTGGGAAATAATTTCAGCACTTGAATTAATTTGGTAGCCAAGAAGTAATTTATTTTGAGAGAGTTGTGACATAATAAGAGTCTGAGAATTATTTTCGCACAAGGAGAAAAAAAAATATTATATATTAATTTATATCCAAGCCTAACTCTAAAGTATAGTTTTTTGCCAAATAAAATTTCAAAGCATGAGAATTTGCCACGTAGGCTCAGTGCATTCTGAAATTATATATAGAGGGGATTTACTCCATGTAAATATGTACTGTACAAATCATTCACGGTGAATCAGGATCGAGGCCTTTGCCGGCAATGACAGGGTCCATGTCATCGATTTTAATATATTCTTCATATACGAAAATTATATTTTTTAAGAATACATATATCTAATTCCGATCTACTTGGTCCTAGAACAAATTTCTCTACCTTGTAAACGTTACTCTGCAGGCCACATTGTTCCTGATTTTCCTATTTTAGTCGTTAAATATCATTTGACAAAATTTCAACACGACGTGTCGGACTCTAGATCTAGCTGGAATACCCCGTTTAGGTGAAGTAGATAACCTGCAAAACAAGAGTCGAGAAGAATTCCCGGCAGTACTCCGACACCCAAGTCAGTTATCAAATCTAGAAAATATATGGTATGTAATGCTTATAATGATTAGAGAGGGAGAAGAGTTCTGATCATACCTTCCCCTTTATATAGCTAGTTTTCGTGTTCTCCAAGTCTTATTTCTTGCTGACGCAAATCCTTATCTTTTACCCAAGGGTTAAGTTATTCTTATCTGATCATGTTTACACTGAGTCCACCTTTACAAGTCAAATGACTCGTCTCCCAGCCTTCTATACCTGATTTATCCGAATTTAACTCTGAGGTATTAGCTTCGATTCAACCGAGTTGGAGCTATATCACAACACATTCCTCGTTACCGCACAAATATCTACAGGGTTTTCATTTTTCTCTACCTCTAATCATTCAAACCACCACATGTTTCTAAGAACAAACACTCAAATATCCAAGACAAGTGAAAAGTAAAGAAACTAAGACAATATACATACATGTCAAGACAAGTAAAATAGTTCTAGCTAGAAGTTACTTCTACTTTGTTCTTTCTCTATCTGTGTGTCTCTATCTCTCTCTCTCATTGCAAAACTTTGCTTGGTTGACAGTCTGCTAATATTTCAGCATAATTAACCTGCAAAATATGCCATCAAAAGGTTTCCTAAAATATCTTCCCATGTCAAAAACAAAGGGTACGGATTAATTGAAACCATTCGAGCTACATCCTCATGGTTATTTCACTACCCCATGCTAATAATTAAGAAAATTGGAGATTAGTTTCTCAAAATATAAAGTACCAGAAAACATCACCTCCACTGGAGTCAAGATTTAGCTTCAAATAAACTTTTGCATATTACGATAAAAAATTACATATAAATTAAAATGAAATACTTACCACAATGCTAATTATCAGCTTCTTTACTAGTACTCGGCTTGTGGTCATCAGCCTGTGGCACGACTTGATTCTGCAAAATAGATTTGTCAATTCAATTACTGAAAAAATCATAAAAAAAAAAATTAGCAAATGTATAATAAATACACCCTATTCAAGTTTTCAACAAGTGCCTTTGTGCAAAATTAATTAATGAAATTGCTAAAAAGTGACCAATAAAACTAGTCTTGTTAACACACTTCACTGCATGGTTTAATGGATATCATCTTAATCTAAACAAGAGACTACTATTAGTTGTACAGATGTTACTGCCCTTGTAAGTTGACCTTTCGCAATAAGAGATAGTAAAAAATTAATTGTCAAATAAAACTAATTGATAGTATCAAATAATTCGAACTTTCCTTGTGTAACTGTTGCTGTTGCATTCTCAGAAACTGTTGATACAAATCGGCATAACTCGGCATTGGCAGCTGATTTGGAAAATTAGGAAACTTGGCCGCTTGGTTACAAGTCTGAGCTCGTGAAGGATTAGTCAGTGGCATTGGAAATCGAGGCTCCATATTTGGTGAAATTGGCATCGATAGATATGGCACGAAACCTTGTGTGCCATGGTACAACATCATGGTCAACATCTGAAAGAAGTAAAATTCCAAATATAATATATAATATAAAAAACAAATGTATATAATACATAAGATTAAAATTGGGACAAGAAAAGATGAGACGAACCTACCTGCACTTGCATCATGAGAGATTTCGTAAATTCGATAGTCTCATCCAACACCGAAGCTTTGTCCAACTGTAACATGGAAAGAAAAATCAGAAATTTTCTAATTAAGGATGTCTGAACTCTGAAGTATATTATTAATATATTTCTTTTTTTTTTTTTTTTTGGNGTTCTTGCAGTGTCTTTATTTTCTCATTTATCCTGTCTCGACGCCTCTGCTTGAGTTGCAACATGTTCAAGTAATCAAGCAATAATCGATTAATATTTAAAAATAAAAATAAAAAGTTGATGTTCAATTTTTTGGATTGCGGGCAAATACAAACCCTTTCCGAGAGGTTGTGGACTTCTGCAGCACGAGATCTCTTACTTGATGCCGAGCCACTGGCGGTGTTTTTGGCTTTAGGTGCTTTATATCCAATGTCCTGAAGCACAAAACAAGCAAGTGAGAAGATGAAATGAAACTGCCTTCAAAAGTTTAAATTATGGTTTAATTAAAATTGTTTTTCCAATTTAATTAGTTAGATAATTTTATTTATCAAATAAGTACCAGTTGAAGTAGTTAATTAACTTTATTTATCAATCAAATAGGTACGTATATATTAAGAGAAAGATATAAGTTTGAGAATCACATAAATCACCCACGCTGGAGTGCTAGCAAGGATTTTATTTTTACCCAACAATTAACTTTATTTTTATTTTTTAATGTTAATTTCATTTTTATTATAATATATAACTTTATATAATGATTTTAGATTGAAAAAAAATTAGTCAGTGCTATTTATATTTATATTATAGTAATATCTTAGTTAAGCAAGTTTAAAACATCCAATCACACCTTCATATTTTAAATACTTCTTAATAAATATAATTAAGAAACATATAAGAACTTAACCTAAAAAACATATCACTATTCTCTAGTAGATTTGTCAGATATGATCTTTGTAAATCTATTATTAGTTCCATTATTAATATGTAACTACTATTGTTAAAAAAATTATTCTTAAAATTTAAAATTAATGAGAAAAGGTATTTTTAAAATATAAATACTTTTACAAAAAATATATATTATTATTATTTAGAATGACACTTATTACTTGCACGACTTACCTGTGTTATATTATAATAATTTTTTTAATTTATACCATCTAACTACTTTAAACATAAATATATTAATTGATAAATAATTTTATTTTTTAATTAATATTAATAAAAAGTTTTATTATTATTATAAATATAAATGTATTTTGTTTTCGAAACGATAGAGGTAGTATTAACTCTAGAAAACAATAACAATGTTAGTACTAAATCCAGAAAAAACGAACAATGTTCGAATACTATAAATATAAATATAATTTATTCATTTATACATATGGATGTCAAACTGAAATTCATCAAGAGATGGTTAATTTAATATATTATATGTGTAAAACTAATAAGAAATACAAAATTATTAATTTTTAAAATCTATTTACAATTCAACGGTTATAATATGAAATGACATTAAAATACAATTAATACATCTAAAATGACCATAAATAATCAATATATTTATGTTTAATCCGAACCTAATTATTTTTGGGCTGGAAGTAAATTAAAATTTATCCAACCCACATAATGAAGCATGAAATTTCGCCACATAGAATCTCAAAGCGAGCCTGCAAGCCAGATTCAGCACATTCGATAACTACGTACAAGGGGATATAGAAAAAGAAATAAAGAAAAAAAATTGGTATGTTAATGTTAATAAGAAAAATAAAAATAGTTACCTCACTCTGGCACTCACTATCCTCTTTGTTTTGTGGTATTGCTTTTCTCTTGCGATCCTTCGCTACCACACCCTGAGCCGGCGGCGGCGCAGCCTCACCGCTGCCGCGCGTGACGCCGGAAGACGAAGTGGCCGCCGGCTGTTCCGGTTTCTGTGTCACGTCAGACGAAATCTTGGAAATCAGCCCGAAATTCTTCTTCATCCCATCCTCAGCCTCAGGGGAATGATAGAGTAGATCGGCCATCAAATCTCGATTGAAGGGACATTCGTCCAGCGGAATCTGGAGTAAAGACGACATCGTATCGTCATCTCTGCTAAACATTATATTCTCTTCTTCTTGGCAGCGCCCAAATTGGAGCTCGCCTGCTTTCTCCTCCTCTTCCTCCGCGACGGCGGAGCTTTCCTTCTGCCCCGCCGTCGTAATAGGTCTGCTTTCCCGTAATTGCTCCATCATATATATATATATATCTCCTCTTCACCTCTAATTACTTCCAAACACAAAAATCCTTTTAATTATAAACTATTTTGTGAGAGGGGATTGAAAGAGCTTAGCTTGCTCGCTCGGTATCATTTTTAGGTATCCACTTATCTTTCATCTTTTCAATAATTAAAGTTTTAATTCGTGTAGAGCTTCAAAATTAGTGTACCTTCTAAACTAGTTTCAATTCCTCAAGAGTAAAGGCATTCACAATTTTCGAATTTTGGTTGAAAGTAAGAAATACACTCCCAAATTTCATGTTTTATTCACCGACAGAGTTAGAAGATAGTTGAGAGCGCATACCTCAAATACGCGAATCCCTTGAATGAAAAAAGAA